AGGCCGCAGCCCACTGCCGACATTTTCCCCCAGCTGAGCAGCGGGGCTTGGATCCGAGCCGCGGTGGCTACCCCAGCCATGGCCGGACTCTAGGGAGTCCAGCCATGGCTGAGGTAGCCGCCGTGGGTCAGATCCAAGCTGCGGGGGAAGGGAGAAAACCGGATAATCTGTTCCAATTGGAACAGATTAACCGGTTTTCAATGCATTCCTATGGGAAATGGGGCTTCACATAACGATGTTTTCACATAACATTTTTTTTCAGAACCAATTAACATCATTATGCGAGCCACCACTGTACTTGGCATCTTGGGACATAATGCTACAACAAGGGAAATTTTGGGATGAAACAAAATCTACCCTTCAAGCAATCTTAGTGAGATCCCATAGCAAAGAGGTGAAATCATTCAAGGAACAACTAAGGAAGGACTATATTCAACAGGAGACAGGGAATAATGAACAAGGAAATGTGGAGGATGATGTATGTCAACCAAAAGATGGGCTGGAGGAAACCAGAGGGGAAAATTTAGAAGATTTAATTCTAACCCTAGAGCTGAGGAGTATTTTAACTGTGTTAAGGGAAGATAAGGGGAGAACATCAGCAGAATTAATTAAAAATAGCCTGGAAAATCTATTATAGATAGATCAAGTGCATAAATATCTGTTGGAGATGGATCAAGTGTATAAAATGTTTTCAGATGACACAAGGGATGGCAGGATGTTTAGGGAGATAGAAACAAGACAAAGACAAATAAGAGGAGTTACTTAGAAAGATGAAAAGGGGAAAAATATTAAGGTGGCCGTCAACATTGAAAGCATGTATATACTTCTGGAATTGTAAAGGGGCATATTTTATATATTAAAAAAGGAAATTAAACTGAAATAAGGGATCATTAATCAGGGTAAAAGCATAACATGGTGGTTTTTAAGGTAAATTGAAGCTAGATTAGTTAATGAATATACATTAGATATGATATTGATATAGATATGATAGGAAATGTAAACAGCTAAACAATTATATAAAGAAAATCTGTATAAAATGCTTTAGATAACATTTATTATGTGTTAGGAACCTACTCAGTTATTGTTGGTATAAAATACAAAGTTCTTCTGTTAAATCGCCTAAAATTATATAGATTTGGAACTGGAATTACTTTTACTAGGTGCATTTCTAGAGGATTTTGAGAACATTGTATCCTCTGAGAGCAATATTGTGATAGTAGCCAATATCGTATACTAAAATACACACAAAAACAGTTTAAATCTTAAAAAATGTATAGATTTTGAAGAGACAACTAAGAAGACACCAAGAGGCAAAAAACAATTATAAGCAACCCATGTAACACAATGTTCACCACCGTGGAGCACCTAACAACCTCTAGAGTGTTTTTATATACAATGGCTACTCCCCCTCCGCCTCTCCAGTCTACCCTGGTGTTGGACTGCATAACCTGGAGGGCAGGCAAGAGTCAAGGGAACACTCCCTTCCCTGCCCATCCAAGTTTCAGTTATGCATGCCAGGTCTGCATCCTCCTCCACAATAAGGTCTTGAATAATCTGGGTTTTGCTGGATACAGACCTGGCATTCAACAACACCAGAATTAGAGTGGAGGGATGGCTGAGCCGACTACCTTGAGTCTGATGGTTGGTCACAGTGCCAGAACAGTAAACAGCTTTCAAACATATGTTCACCGTTATTCTGCAACGAGTAGGAACTGTGCCATCGCTATATCTCCTTCTACCTATAATCACTTGGATGTTCAGAGGACCCCCGCTGGGGAGGCAGGCCTTCCTCTCCATGAAAAGCAAAAGGGGGGGGGGAGAGAAAAATGTTGTGGTACCTTAAAGATTAACTGCTATACAGTGGGGTCTTGACTTGAGAACTTAATCCGTATTGGAAGGCGGTTCTCAAGTCAAAAAGTTCTCAGGTCAAATCTGCATTTCCCATAGGAATGCATTGAAAACCATTTGATCCGTATCTGCTCTTTTCCGTCCATAGAAACTAATGGGAAGCTGCTATTCTGGCTTCGACCACTAGAGGGGGATATTTTGTTTCTTTTTTTCTTAGGTCAAGAAAGGTTCAGGGAAGGCAGGGAAAATACAGTCCAGGCAGTACCAGGCAGTCTGAAGACCCCCAATCCACTCTCTAAACGCTGGGAGGAGTGAGGAAGCAGACAGGCACCCTTTTCACTGGCCAACAGTTAACTAAAAGTTCAAATTTTGCACTTTCCCTGCCTCCCACGTGGTTTTTTTTCAAGTATGTAAGTCGTCAATATTTTCCTATGAGAGTGGTTCTTAAGTCAAAATGTTCTTAACTCAAGCCGTTCTTAAGTCAAGACCCCACTGTATTTTAACGTGAGCTTTCCTGGACGACTCCACTTCCTCAGACATAAGCCTGATATGCTAGCACAGATTAATACAGCTGCTTCTTCTAAAACTACTTCTGAAGCTGAAAGGCAATTAAATTCATCATGCACACAGATACAAAAGGAAGGTCTGAAGCTCCATGATATATTGTTGTTGTTGTTGTTGTTTTGTTACTTGGAATGTCAGACATCAGATTAATAAAACAAGAAATTGAATGGTTAAACATTGCAGTCTTTCAAATGAGCAAGCTAAAGTGGACTCGAAAGAACATTTTCAATCAGATAAGTACAAAGTGTTTTACTCTAGAAATGAGAAACTTGGAAGAAATTACATGGCTCAAACAGTGAGGTGAGATGTGACACAGGCTGTGAGGGGACACAATGCAAGTCTGACTAAATAATATAAGTCACGGAAAACCTAACAACATAACCTTCGTTCAAGTCTGCATTTCAGGTACAAATGGCAAAGATGATGATACTGAAAATATTTATGCAAGTGTCAAAGAGAATATTAATCACTCACCAAAACAAGATATTTTTCATATGTGGTTATCAAACCTCCAGAACCTTCTGGTCTAGTTTTAATACCTCAGAACCATACCCGTGTTACTTTTCCATGTCTCTGCAAGTGCAAAATTACACTTAACTTTGAAAATAGCTGGTGTGTTTGAACAGTTTTATTATATTGTTCTTTATTAAACTCTTCACCTCCCATGGAAGGGGAAGAATCAAAGACGGTGTCCTGTTTCTTGGTGGCAGGCCATACTAGGCAGGTCAAGCAATCCAAACAAATCACCAATAAAGTTTCACTCAGACATAAATCAGATTCAGCAAGAAGAATCTGAAGTCCGGAGTCCAGGAAACAAAGACAAAAATCACAACAAATTTGTTTGTTTAAAATATTTTACCCCATTTTTTTCCTTTAGAAGAATACAAATACCACTATGAGAAATGGTAAACAAAAATAATACTAAAAACACATTCAAAGCATAACAGTTCATCTAAACAGCCTACTCAGGCAGCCAGGCACTGAAGGTAAGGTTGCCTGAAGAGAAAGATCTTAGTGAAAGCCTTCGCGAAGAAAGATCTTTGCTTCCTTGCGGAAGAACAATACAGATAAGCCACCCTTCTTAGAAATTTCTTGTTTAATTTTACTTTCTAGGAAAGCTGGGGAGGCATACTGTTGACTATATGTGTCTCTTAATTTCATCTTATAGCATATGGTTGATGTGATATTTTAAAAGCTTTCATATCCTTCAATGCTGCTGGATAACTTAGAACTTCTTTTTTAACTTAAATGCCTTAAAAGAGATGGTGCATCGATGGTGTCTTGTGTCCAATGTCTTTAGGTATTGTATTATGTGATTTTATCTAAATAATGTATTTTTATCTTCTTGGTCATTGACTGTAACAAATAAATACATACACAGATAAGCCAAGTGTGTAAAGTCCATAGATTTCAATTGAGTATATTTGTCCCATGAAAACTCATAATTCCATCACATGCAACGTCTGTTCAGTATCAATCCAGAGAAAGAAGCAGTGTGAAGTTGTTCCTATCTATCATGTTACTAGTTTTGTTTTGTTTTTTAAAGGGAAAAGCCTGAAACAAGGACATCGGATAATATTAACAGATTTTTTTTTACAGGGTCCTCCAGGTCCACCTGGTTCCCCAGGTCAAAAGGTAAGACTGTTTTTATTGAGCAGTGTTGAAATGCTTATCCTTAAAACTTGCTTCCACATAGGATGTAGAGAAACCATTAAATTCTCATCCTCAAGATGTATTTATGGCCACCAATTTATATTGCTTCAAAAGAAAATTAGACAAGTGAAGAATTAAGCTGTCAATGACTACTAGTCATGATGGCAATATATTCCCTCCAGGGTTAGGAGGAGTACTGTGAGATAGCAGCAGTAGTGTAAGACTGTTGCATTCATGACCTGCTTGTGGGCCTTTCATTAGCATCTGATTGGCCCTATTTATTATTTTTTATATATTTAATATATTTACATGTCACTTTTTTCCTAAAGGATCTAAGGCGGCTTACATTAAAAAAGTATTTAAAAAAGAAGTTAAATTCTAAGTTAGAAATTATTACAATATTTTAAAAGCATTAAATAGATATTACATTGAAACTCATAAATAAGAGCAATATTAAAAACACAAGTAAAACAAGAGAATAATATTATGCCTTTAAAATACCTCTTGGGCAACCAGTCATTTAAAGCCCCTACGAAATGGGATTTCCAGTGTGGTATAGTAAATAGGACTAGGACTAAAGGTGGGAGCTTTACATTTGTGTAATGAATGCAAGAGGAATATGAAGCTCATCATCACCGGTGGCCAATCCAATTGGACTCTCCCTCTCGAACTGGGCATCCACTTACTACTTGCAGTGTGGTGTGGAGGGCTATCATCCTTCACACTGCACCAATTGTAGAAGTAGCACAACTGGGGCGTCCTGCCTCCCTGCACTGCTGACCAATCAGCAGCTAAGTGGGGAGGCTTGTCATCCCGTCCCCTCGCCATTTTGGTCAGCAGCACAGGGGGGTAGGGAAGCCCCAGCCAGGCTACTTCCATGATTGGCGTGGCGCAAAGAACGATGGCCACATGCTTCACAAGTGGAAAGTGGACACCTGGTTCAGGGGGGAAGGGACCAATCAAATTGGCCACTGTGTTGGGAGCTTCATGTTTATCTCCCTCAGGAGACCAATATGAAGCTCCCATCTCTAACCAGGACTCTGAAGAACAGAGTTTGAATCCTGTCTTGGCCATGAAAACTGATTGAAGGAGTGGAATTGGTAAAACTACTCCTTAAATATCTTACTTACTTTGAAAGCCCTATTAGTCGGTTCCAACTTGACAGCACAAAACACACAAACACACACACACACACACACACACAGAGAGAGAGAGAGAGAGAGAGAGAGAGAGAGAGGAAATAGGAGACTAGGCCAGATAGGTCTTTGGTTCAGAAGCATGCTACAGGCCAGAACGTTTAAAAAATTGGTTCATAAATAAGTTTTCCATTCTAAAATTTGTCTTCTGTGCATAATCAGGGTCACATGGGACTGAGTTTCGAAGGACCAAAAGGTGATAAGGTAAGTGAACATACTTCTCCTATCCCTCTGTGATGCTGCTTTGAATGCAATGAATCCTCCCCAAACATATAACCCAAGCAATTATTATGGAATCTATTAGACAAAATGGTAGGTTGATCATTATATTTCATTATATGAAAAAAAGGTTATAGAAGGCAAGTCCATCCATGGGGTTAGGCCAGTGTACATGTTTACAGATTGAGTGAGTGAGTGAGTTTTATACTGCCCATCTTGCTGAAAGCCACTCCGGGCAGTTTACAACAAACAAAAATGCTTTAATAGAACAAAAAATAAACATAATAAGCAAACAAACAAACAAACAGTACAGTCACAAGCATAAAAGTATATTTCTATAAAAACATTTAAAACACAATTGTGGACTTGATTAAGTAGGCTAATGAAGCTCATCTTAATCCGCAGGTATAATGCCTGCCAAAATAACAAGGTTTTTAATGACTTTTTAAAAATCACCTGTAAAGGGGCCAGACGAATTGCAGGAGTGAACAAATTGTTCATTCCACAGCGAAGGAGCAACCACTGAGAAGGCCAGGTTTCTTGTCTTTTCTCTCCAGGCCTCTCTCAGGGTTAGTATCCTCAGCCAGCCTACTTGAGATGTTCTTGTAGGATGGGCAGATCCTGTTGGAAGTAGGTGATGGGTACTGACATATTTTTGAAATGAAATACTGAGAATTTAGTCACCACTCTTTCCCTTCTTATGAACTTATCAGCATCAACTCACAAGAAACTGTATTAATTTGTCAAAGCTCTTAGGGCTATGAAATACAATATTATGTCTAGACATAGATATTTTAGTAGATAATTGTTTTATATAATTAATTTGTTTTGTTTATAACATTCTTCTGTTCATTTTTTCAAATTAAAACCTGACCACTATGATTTATTTAATTTTTTTAATACTCTGATTCTAGTCCAGTTTTTCTACACAAATCTGGAACCTTTACCAACACTTTTTAAGAATTTTATAGTATTAATAATATGACCTCTGCATATTAACATTTTTATAGTGCACATGTCTAAATTTTACTTTTTGGCATTATACCATATAGGTCAAATAAATCAAGTGGGCTCAAGGGACAATGAAAATATGACGACAGTGGGCACCTCAACATATGGAATTAATGTGTTGTAGCTATACAGAGACAGTAGGATTAGTTTTGTTGTTGTTTAGTCGTTAAGTCATGTCCGAGTCTTTGTGATTCCATAGACCAGAGCACGCCAAGGCTCTCCTGTCTTCCACTGCCTCCTGGAGTTTGGTCAAATTCATGTTGGTAGCTTCGATGACACTGTCCAACCATCTCATCCTCTGTCGTCCCCTTCTCCTCCTGCCTTCACATTTTCCCAACATCAGGGTTTTTTCCAGGGAGTCTTCTCTTATGAAACGGCCAGAGTATTTAAGCCTCAGCTTCAGGATCTGTCCTTCCAGTGAGCACTCAGAGTTGATTTCCTTCAAAATGGATAGGTTTGTTCTCCTTCCAGTCCAGGGGACTCTCAAGAGTTTCCTCCAGCACCACAATTCAAAAGCATCAGTTCTTTGGCGATCAGCCTTCTTTATGGTCCAGCTCTCACTTCTATACATCACTAGTGGGAAAACCATAGCTTTGACTATGTGGACCTGTGTCGGCAAGGTGATGTCTCTGCTTTTTAAAATGTTGTCTAGGTTTCCCATCGCTTTCCTCCCAAGAAGCAGGCATCTTTTAATTTTGAGGCTCCTGTCACCATCTGCAGTGATCATGGAGACCAAGAAAGTAAAATCTGTCAGTACCTCCATATCTTCCCCTTCTATTTGCAGGAGGTGATGGGAGCAGTGGCCATGATCTTTTTGTTGTTGTTGTTATGTTGAGCTTCAGACCATTTTTTGCGCTCTCCTCTTTCCCCCTCATTACGAGGTTTTTTAAAATTTCTCTTCACTTTCTGCCATCAGAATTGTATTGTGGGTATATCTGAGTTTGTTGGTATTTCTTCCAGCAATCTTGCTTCCAGTTTGGGATTCATCCAGTCCAGCCTTTTGCATGATGTATTCTGCATATAAGTTAAATAAGCAGGGAGACAATATACAGCCTTGTCGTACTCCTTTCCCAAGGATTAGTTTCGCCCTCTTAATAAAGAAGTTTTCTAGGCTAAACTAAAACGTATGCAAACTTTAGTATGAATAAACCAAGTCTGTACAACTAGAGGCCTTTTTTGTGTGTTTTAAAATATTACTCCAAATGGCTTTAAAACAATTGAAGATTTTGTTAATTAGCCTATGGAGATTCACAAATGATTCCTCTTTCTTTTAAAAGCCAGTGTAGCCCTCCCCATGCACTTTTAAAATAATGCTATTCAATTTTGTTCCAAATTTATTTAACTGTATTGTGGAATCTTGAATAAGTCATATTAAATATCAATAAAATTTAGGTTTTGTTAAGTTTTTTTAATGGATTTTTTTGCCAATGAAGGAATTTAAGTAAGTTATCTTTTCTCACAACATTTATTTGTTCAATAAACTGAAAAAATACAGATTTTATTTTAAAAATCTTTTTATTTCTTCATTCATTCATTCGTTCGTTTGTTTGTTTGTTTGTTTGTTTGTTTAACTTATATGCCGCCCACTCTACCCAAAGGTCTCTGGGCAGCTTACAACAATTAAAATTCAATTAAAAAACAATAAAAGATAAAATGATTAAGATACCATTAAAATTGCCATCAGGACCCACAGTTGATGTTATTTCAATTAAAAGCCTTCTGGAACAGGAAGGTTTTGACCTGGCACCGAAATGTCATCAATGTCGGCGCCAGATGAATTTCAGTTGGGAGGGCATTCCATAGTCTGGGGACAGCTGCTGAAAAGGCCCTTTGTCTGCAAGCCATCCCTCTTACCTCCTTGAGGGGCGGCTCTTTCAAAAGGGCCCCCTGGCTAGATCTTAGCTGCCGGGTAGGCTCATATGGAAGGAGGCGGTCCTTCAGGTATCCAGGGCCCAAGCCATTTAGGGCTTTATATGTCAAAACAAGCACTTTGAATTGGGCCCGGCCTGGGCATATTACTGTGTTATCCTTACCTGGGGCTCATTTTTTACAATTATTTATTTTAGCAATTCCTCCATAGTTTCAGGCATTTCAGTCTGTCCACATCTTCTAGTGTAAAATAAGGTAGATTCATTTTACGTAAAAACTCAATCCATTAATTATTGAGTTTTTGGATACGCATTTATATAATGTAATGTATATATTTACTCACTCTTTCTTTTTGGAAATGTTACAACTGCACTGCTTTCTCTAAACTGTCATACTATATTCTATATTTTTATTTGTACCACTGCATGCAATTTGGTCTGTTCTCTTTCTGAAAAAAATCTTATGCCTAATAGATTTTCCATAATGCCTCATTAGTATTCCCATTCTCTGGGTGATGACATGATTGAAGGGAAATTATAAGAAACAGAAGGGAATATGGTAAATTAATGGTTGTGGTTTTTATTCAACAACACATTTGTAGTTCAACAGTAGTTGTACTATTATATTCGCAAAGGCTTTCACGGCCGGGATCTAATGGTTGCTGTGGGTTTTTCAGGCTCTTTGACCGTGTTCTGAATGTTGTTCTTCCTAACATTTCGCCAGTCTCTGTGGCCGGCATCTTCAGAGGACAGCACTTTGTGCTCTGGTGTAGTTGGTTTTGGGAGTGCAATATTTATGGCTGGGAGATTGGCTTTTGTCTTTTTCTGTAGATGGGTGATTAGTGTGTATTGTTGTGGGTGTATTGTTGTGCTAAGGAGAAGAGATTATCTGTTCCTGTGGTTGATGGGTGTCATTAGCTGGTCTTTTGTGTGTAGTGATCCCCTGTCCTTGTGGCTGGGTAGAGTTCATTGACCTTTTGCACGCTGTATTTTTGAGAGCTGGGAGCTAAGTTTTGTTTTGTTTTTTTCCATTTTTTAAGTATTTATTTGAGGACAGGGGTAGGGAATACAAGAAGTAAAGGGGATCAGGTAAGAGGGGGAAAGGGGTAGGGGATAGGAGAACACAAAGTATATCTTCATCCGATCAATTCATATTACAATTACAAATCAACTTTTTGCTTTTTCACAGTTTGATTACACTCCTGCTTTCATCTTATCATTTAATTTTAGTTTGATTCTATGTTATTCCAACACTATCTGATAACTGCAGCCATTTATACAATACATCCCATTGTTCAGTTTCCTTTTGAATTGAACAATCTTTCAACCCATCTGATATTTTTTCCACTTCCCGTATTTTCACAATAAGAATCTCTTCTTTCAGTATCTCTGCTTCCCTGAGATTTTTAACATAATGCTTTTTGATTTTAGAAGCTGCATAGGTCACTGAATATCTCTCTATCCCATTTATGTTGCCTGGTGTCATGCCTAATAAAGATGGTTCTAAAGTTTGTACAGCTTCATTTCAGTTTGTCCCCACTTTCGTCACTTTCATCAAATCTTCTATTTTGCTAAGATCTTCACTCACTCGCTAAAACCCTGTTATTATTATCTTTTGCATAGTAATCTGCCATTCCTTTTCTATTTCTTGTACCGCTGTTCCAAAACTTTGGGCTTGAACAGACCCAGTCTCCATTTGTTGTCTTAAATTTTGGGGGGCCATCTCAGGCTTTGGGGTTTGTATAGATAATACTATGCCCTTAACCACAATGCTTGCGAAAACACCGCCCATATCTCCAAGGAGACGTTCGCGGGGTTCCGGAGAATGGGATGGATCCGAAAGACAGACAAACCACAATACTGCTGAGTAGAGCCCAGGGGATCTCAGCCGGGTCTTGTCTATTCCTTCTTCTCCAAAAGCCACACTCCTTTAATAAGCCAAATAGCCAACACAGACATAACCATGAGATATACTCAGATTAATCTGGGCTCTAGAAATCTTTGGTAGCGAACATATAAGGCCAATTAATATTCCTCAGCTAGTCTGAACAAGAAACAATGCTTCTAGATAGAAATCAATCATTACTGTTTTATTAATAAAAGTTG